TATAGTTTTATTCATTTACAACACTAACAGTCTGGAGAGGCACATTCCCGGCTTTTCTAGTTGATTTTTTGTCATTTAATTATTAATAAATATGTAAAAATATATGAAACCATTACCATCACAGTTTGACGAGATGTATTGCTTTTTATCTACGAGATTTGATTTAAGCTATCTGGCCACCTTTTCATCTACCCAGCATGCATTGCACGGCTGAAAAAAATGGCGACCTTCAGAATTTTTAGAAATTAGACCCCCTTGTTTCTCTTATCCAGCCTTCAGGTTGTTTTGAACTATCCTTTTTCTGGTTATGCAGCAGAAACAGACAGATACTTGGGCAAGCTTTGTTTTCTCTGCCGATACTAGCATTTTTTTCTGATGTTAGCATAGATGCATGCACTCTGGAACATTAGCCTGTTCAGCGCATAATTTGCCATCCACTGTGAATAAAGTGATCTGTTAATAACTCACTATGTTTGTGTTTTAACTGAGCTTTCCATAACATTTGTCTTATTTTTTTTATCATTGTGCACAGATGTAAGCTTGCTGGCGACTACAGATCGTTTTCTTTTTTTGGGACATGAACATTTAGCACGTGTTTGTGTCGGACATGCATGTGGAATCAAAAGGAAAGAAAACCTTGGGCCGTACCATCCCCTACGGGATGTACCATCCCGTCTCCTAAAATCCATTTTAATTTGAAACGATTGCAAATTCATTTCTTTTAAAGAGGGACAATGCACTTAAGTAACCAAACATTCAAAGATACAGTAGCAGCCATTCAAAATGGCCCTTCCCAGTCAAACGCCAGTCGAATGGCGGCCCACTTCCCTCCAGCAAAATCCCCTCCAACTTCCAGCCACTGGAGTGACCTCCTCATGCACCTTTTTTTACTCTGACTCCACCTTTTCACTGAATTACAGGGTCTGACCAGGAGATGATGCTTCTCTTTTCATCTTAATGTCCACAAATCATGACAGAAAGAATATTTTAGTACAAATATTTGATGTTTAAAAAGGAATTGTAGGGGGGGGCCCAGGGTGTTTTGAATGGCTACTGCTGTAGATCCACTTTCAGGGCTCGATGTTAACCATCGGCCAATCTCCCGGGGCAAGTAGTTTTTATTATCGGGAGAGTACAAAATTCATTTCATTTGCCCGCCGGGCAAGTGCAATGATCGCAAGAAAAAAAATATTTATCACTCAAAATTACTTTAAAATCACCGACATTTAATGAAAACGACCCGGGTCATTTTTCCACCAGATGGCGGGATTTTTGTCCACCTAGCGGTAATTTTGATGTAGTTACCAAAACAACAAACGGCTGCATTTATTTTGTCAGGGAAAACTAATCCTGAGTCAGTTAAAAGTCAGGGAATTCTGAAATGATGTCAGACTGTGGAAACCCTGAATAAAATAACTATGTATAATGATTCTCTAGAAAAGTCACATCATATTAATAGTATTATCTTGTATAAACATACCGTGCCTCTAAAATAAAAGTTATTTATTGCCTATGGGTATGCTGGTCTGACAGAACAG